AGGAATTATTTCAGCTCAGTGCAAGTCCATGCTAATCAATAAATTTACACCACTTTACACATGAAAGAAGTAAGTATATCATCTTTCTTCATTCTGTGCATAAAGGATGTGGTCAAACCCATAGCTCAAAACTCATCTCCAGACTTTCCCATAGGTAAAACCACCACCTGTCTCCAAAACTACCTTCCAACAAGAACAAAAGAAAAAAAAAATCTCCATTGCAAGTACAGTCCTAAAAGCATACTATGAATCAGTATCGTTTCAAAAGTAAAAGTGGCCACTAGAGCAGGAAAGAAAAAGGAACACACTTGTAGGTTCTGTTAGGTTGTCCTGTTAGGTAGTAGGTAAGCAATATCTGAAAAGTAGATAAGCTAACTCTCCCCTAGATGAAAAGACTTAGTAATTAAATGTAAGTAGAAATCTTACTGTGTTCTGACAGAAAAATTCACACAATAAGAGTGGAATAACTATGATGTGCCCAGGAGCGAGGCTAACAAAGGAACCTGCATTTCAAAGGACTTAGTTATTTTGTATTTGTAGAACTTTCAGAAAAAGGCATGTATTTTTAGGGTAGACAATTTATGAAATTTTGACTAAGAAAACTTGTGGGATTGATTTGCATCCACAGACAAGGATCATTCATGCAAAAAATCTGATTCAAAATGTGCATCTGAATTGTCTAACTAAATTAACTCAGTTACTAAAATCGTTTGCAGAAACACAGTAAATCTGCAAACAATTTAGGTAACTGAGATAATTACTCATTTGTAGAAGAGTCACTTAATTTCCTCTTGCAGTCCCAGAAGCTGCGCACAGACTAGATTTTCAAATACATATGTTAATGGATGTGCAATAATTCCCCCCAAATCTAAAGGAAAAGGTCTAAACCAATTCCCCTGTATGTACTCTTGGTAGCACTGTTTCGTTTCCAAACAAGTTGCTCAATATATTTGTATGTTAGGGTGGTAGTGATAAGGGGTCTTAACTTACTAAAAAAAGGACATTAAGAAGCACAGTCTCTTTGAAAAGGTGCCATACTCGGACATTCCTTTCTTTCTACAGTTTATCTAGGCATCACAATTGAACCTTGAAGTAACTGCGCCTAGTGGTCAGTTATAGGAGGATTTTGGCAAGTAAAGAACTCTCCCATCATCACTGGAAGAGAGGGTCAAATCCTGCCGTTCTTACTGAGGCAAAATCCCCATTGAATCTGACAGGAGTTTTGCTCAAGTAAGACTAAGGACAGCAGGATTTGGCTCACAGGATCATAGCATCTGCCAAAGCAGTTGCACAGAACAAGGTTTATTCTTAGTAAGTATAATCCAATAAGAATATGTCTGTAGGTGCGTGATAGGCCTAATTTGTCTATCATCTCGCCACTGGTCTATGTTGTTCTTGGATTTTGCCCTGATAGCTGTATACTTAAACTTGTTTTAAATTACCATCAAACGACTTGCAAAAATCAGCCATCTATTAAAGCTGACTTTTTAACCACTGACAAAGCAAAACTGCATGGTACTATTTTAAAGTGGTTTTTTTAACACAAAATACTTTCCACTGGAGACAATATTTAGAAAACGTTACATTGATTTTGTTGTAAAAGGTTTTCTGCCTCAGAAGTCCACGACATCTTCTGTTATTCTTTCTTGGAGGTAACGGTACACTATAATCATAACGTATACAATACATGCATGTAAAAGTGTATTTTTACATATACATTAACAGCAATAGAAGTGCATAGCAGGCTACCAAGATTTAAGGAATCGCCTCTTTCTGTAAAACAGATGAATCAAGTTTCAGGTGAGAGAGAAAATGTCCTTGGAACATTTTCTGTATTTACCTGTTAGTCAATATCTTCAAGACATTACTGATGAATTAAACCACTCAACATATACTTACTGTGAGGGGCAGGGGTTCTCAGATGCTTTTTTTTTTTAATTACTTAAAAAAAAAAAAAGAGGGACATTTCTCATCTTCTGTATGCCATTATTTGCTCCAACGTAGTTACAGTAACTTCAATAGACATACTCAATATTTACATTTGTTTAATCAAGAAGTAACCCTTTCATGTGTCCTGATGAAATGAAGACTGAGTAAAAATAGGAAAAAGGTACAGTGTGTGTTTCTGCCAGAACTGGGACACACCAACAGTGGATAAGGAATGGAAGAAAGAAATCTTTGAGAATTCATGATGATAAAGCATTAAGGAAAATGAGAGGATATATTCTGATGATTATTCTATTAGTTACCTACTGAAGGAGACGGAATGCTGGGGTACATTTTGCTGTACTACACAGTTAGAAATATTCCAGAGAAGATGAACTCTATGTAGATACATTGTGATTCCATAGCTCAGAAATAGACTGTTGGGAAGAGCAAGTATACATGAAAATTGCCTTTACAATAACTGATTAGAACGCTCACCGATCTCTCTTCTTTCTTGATTGCCTCACAATTGTTGCATGTGTTTGCAGAGAGATACATACTGACTTGATCAGTCTTACCTTCTTTCAGCATGCCGACTTTTAGACACTTCATGAAGCGGCAGGCTTGGCAGGACTTGCGTCTGCGCTTTGTGATTTCACATTCATTCGTTGCTGGACAGCTGTATTCTATGTTACCTGTAATAGGATGTACAGGAAAAGAGCACTATTCAGATTCACTGACTGACCAACACCATGGATATAAGATGTACTCATAACAATTGCTGTTGTGTTTCATTTTGGAGTATGTCAGAAGTAAACAGTGCTATAGAAAGCAAACATCTTTCAAGTAAAAATGAAAAGCCAAGTTAAAGGATGAGCTTTTTGACTTTTCTTTCTCAATCTAGACAGCTATATGAAAAAAAAAATATGCAAACCCACAATTAACATGAGTGTGTCTAGCTCCATACATGGTCCCTAGCAAAATCCTTCACGTAGGTTATTCCTGCTTGCAGGAGGAGGAAATTTTGTCATTTATTGTCTTTACCAAGTCACATGCTTAGGCTCCTAGCCTGAGCACTCTTCATTCCCTTTTTTTCACCAATTTCATGCGTCTTTCTTTGTCTAGAATACGAAAAGGAGACTGTCGTGCTTTATTGCACAAACAACTGGAACAGGTACTACGGAGCTTCAACCTTCTCCTTCCACAACGGGAGGCACAGTGTGTCAGGCAGGGCTCATCGGCATTGCTACCACCACATTGCCAGCGTGTTCTACAGCTGCCGGGTCAGATCTCTCAGCCAGGACATCTCCCCTTCTCTCTACACTTTAGACAGAGTTCTTGTACAGAGAGGCATCAGAAATAGGATCATTGCTACCAAGTTGTCAGAATAACAAAAACAGAGGCTTGCCTCTGCCTCTCCCAACTCTCCTTAAGGCCTAGAACAAGCTAGATCCTTAAATATGTGTGCCCTTGTGGGCAAACCAGTGTCTCCATTTTTTTTTGTTACTGCTTAGTACCTACTATTTATCCTCAAAAATAAGAAAAAAAAAGCCTGAAGTCTGAAAATTAATGGGTAAAATACATATTTTTTTTTTACATTCCTTAAAATCACACCTTTGGGTATCAAAGTCCAAATGGGAGAACGTCTGTTCTCTTTCACCATAGTACCACTGCGCTTTTCGTTAAACAGCTTAGCTCAGCTTATTCACCTGCCCAGTCATGCATCCTATTGCCCATGACTACATTCAGTACGACAGACTTTGCAGCAGTCAGAAGTTTCACCAGGAAACTGACTTTTAAATAAAGTATCTTCCCCATCAGCCTGTCACATCTTGCTTTAAAGGTATTTCTTTATTTTCTAACCCTTTCCCCCTGTGATTAAGTGCATTAGTATCTTAATGAAAATGCATTCTGTTTATTGCCCTCTTGGGAAGCAAGAGGTCATCACACCAAATGCATAAATTGTCATCAGAGACAGTCCGAGCATAATTGCAATTTTGCTGCTCCACGTTTGCTGCACTCGGGGTCCGTCAAAGTCCCCTGAAACATGCGCAGGTTCTAATAATTAGCATAGAGTCTGCCTGGGACCACAGCATTGATGAAATATTTCAGAGTTAATCACACTTTGTAAACACTGATTTATATTGACTACCTTTCTCCAGACTGATGTCTCCTCATTAAATATCACATTAGTGGATTGCAGGATTGCACAAAGACTCAAATGCTCAGCAACTGCTAATTCAACAGGAAGTAATACTTAAACCACTTACATCTATTGAAAATTGGTTAAGTATTTATGATAAAGGAGGTCTGCATGGTGCAATGTATATTCTGTCAATACAACCAGCATACTTTGCACAACCTTTTCAGGCCGTTGCAGGCTTTCCTCCTCCTGAGCATTGCTGCACGACTGACTTAGCAATGCTGGTGAGTAAAACAGATCTTGGTATGTCTGGATGCTAATGGTTCTCGTTGACAGAACTCAAACTTCAGTTTAGTCCTCGTCTCCTTCCTTAGCTCCTGAGAAGAAAGCTATTTAAGAAACTGAAGGATATGGTGGGTAGGAAATCAGCACAACATTTCTTGCAAAACTTTTTTCTGACACACATCAGTGAAATTAGGAAATAGCACTTCTGGAAGGATACATAGGAAAGGATGATAAGGGTAAGCTTAGAAAAAACTTCACTTTATCCTCTCACATTCCAATGAGGCATTCTTAGTGAGGCACAACCACTACACAGGGAGACCTTCAAAGCCTTTCACAAACTGTATCTAATTAACTTCATCATATTAAAGTAATAAATGTATTACTCGCTCTATTTAAAAAACAGAAATAAGGAATCAGAAATGCTTTGCACGAGATCAAAGATATCTTTGCACAAGGTCAGAAACAATCTTGAAGAAAAACAAGATCGAGATTACAACACAGAACTTCAAGCAGCAAAGCTCTGTACCAAGGCAAGTGGAGCGCTTCCACTAAAGCAGAAAGGCACAGATGACAAAGGTACAGATGTTGACATCAGAAAGTAGTATTCAAAACCAGAAAAATATAAGCAAGATTGCTTATTTCCCTAAGTAGATCCTTGTAATCCATACTCTGACATTTCAGTTTTGTGCAAAACCCTGTGAAACATGGCAAGGATCCATAGCATGCAGCACATTATTGCACAGATGTGAACTCACTTTTCCTACAAATTCTTGCCACCTAAAGAACTGTAAAATGAGCTATTATTCTAGTCACTTCGATTCTAGTACTTCAGCTTAGAGGGGGAATCTTCTATCAATTTAGGCTGCTTTACTTTAACGAATTACAATCTTAATTTTCGATATTAGAAAATAAACTTGGAAGATGTTGGAAAGAGTTCTTCCAATGAACTCAGTAGAGTTACAGTAACTGGATTAATTGCTGCAGCAAAGATTCACTTCTTACCAATGGCCATAGCTGGTTCACTTAAAATCTTTCAGCATTTTAGAATACAGCTAGATAGCAGTAAGAGTTCAAGTAAACTAATATTTTGTCACCACTTCACATATGAATGCAATATTTCATCAAACATCCCCACGGATAGACTTAATCAGTGAGCTTTCCTTAAAAAAAAAACACAAACACAAAACCTCATGGAATTTTGCAATGGATATGTACCTGGACATATATCATACTCAAAATGCATTTTACCTAGCACTCAAATATTAGTGGATATAGATTTTTTTGTAAAAATCTACATTTACTGCACATTGCAGGTCACGACAGCTCTCAATTTCTTATTTACTTCTGTACACAAAAAATAATGGAACAGAAATTATTTTAAGAAGCGCTTGGGAATCTGTACAATTTCATAAACATGCTACATCCATTCAAGATGCTCAGATCCTGATTTTATTTCAATGAGGAAGATTTAGAAGGAAGCTCTAGCATTTACTTGTCTACTGCATGATGCTAGGGGCTGAAACTGAGCAGCTACTAAGAGGATAAGTTGAGTTTGCCCAGTCCTGTCAACAGTTGGAGAGGTAGCTGTGTTACACAGTGAACAAAATCAACATGGCAGCTCTGAGTCTTTAAAGTGGGCTGACAAGAACGATCGAGCAATTTATAATATCTCCTGGCTGGTTTTCAGAAAGGACTGGGCTCTGATTACTTATTTCAGAGTCTTTCGTACAATTAGTTTGCAGGCAATATAATTTTCTCACTTACTCCTTAATAGAATCGTGCAGCTAGCTGGCTGATGGAATAACAGCGTATATGTAAAACTCCTGCCTGAAGTGCCAGGGAATAATTTGTATATTCCTTTCAGTAGCGTAATGGACTTTTACAGTTTGGCAGTTAAAGGGCTGAGTAATGTAAATTAGTATGACGTCTGAAAATAAAAATATATGTCAAATCTTCACTCCCCAAACACATTGCCCTGTGCTATAATAGTACACCGGGATTTCTGCCAGTCTGACTCCCTCTTCTCTCCTCATGCGCTGAGGAATGTTTATTTAAAAACAGTTCCTTTTTTCTACTAATTTGTTACATTTTATTATTTCAGCCAAAAGATAAGAAAATACTTCTAACACACCGTGCCTATCAAGAGCAGCTGACTCACTGAAAATATGATGCCATTTGATCTTGAGATAGCAGGTGAACTGCAAAAAGTTACGCTGCGTAACCAGCTCTCTGGTTTTAGATGCTTCAGACTGTCAGATCTTTACACACAGCTCGAGGATAAGTGGGCCAAGATACCTTTTTTTTTTTTTTCCTTCACAGATGAGGTTTGGAGGTTACCTGAATGAGATGTGGAATCATAGTACAATTTTAATGGTACAGGAACTTACTCGATGGCTTTACAAGCCAGGCAATCGACTGAACTTAGCCAAGATTCCAGAGACCATTTTGGCCATTTCTGGCACCAAAGTGACAGCAACATTCAAGGAGTGAGAACCATGACAAAGAAGAGGCCACTGAAACCACTGGGCCTTATGCCTTGGCATCTTATCTCAAATGAAGTTTTTGTCATCAACAGTTACAACTTTAGAACCTCACAGATATCAAGAGTGTAAAGTCGGCTCCAGAAGCTGGCTCCAGTCTGTGGGACAGGCTGAAACAAGGGTCTCTCTCCCAGAAATACTGACAAGAATAGCAGCTGCAGACAGCAATTCTCAGCAGAAGCTTTATTTTCCTTTTCACACTGCGACATTTGATATTATAACACTGAAAATGTAAAAGGATTGCTACGAGTTATTGGAATATGCTCAGAAAAATCTTTGGACAAGTGAAAAACATGAGGAAGACTGAGATACAGGGTGAAAGTATGTTTGGAAAGAGTAGCCATGAGCAACTTACAAAAGCAGGAGGAATGCTGAAGATATCAGTATTGAAACTTTTACTGTGTGGGAATGTCAGTCTAAAAGAAAAAACAAACAAAAAACCCCAAAACCAACAAATCAAAACAAAGGAGAATTAATCATTTAGTCCATGTAATAATTTTATGCTATAATCAGCTCATAAAAGCGTATTTTGGTATCTCTTTCTTTATATTCAATAAGGCCCCATTTTTCTCGCAAACTTTCTCTTTGAGCTTCTGTAACCTGCTACCTGTTTTCAAAAACTCATTATTTAAAAAGCAAGTGTTTTCATTATTCTTAATAGAGGCTACTGCAGCACTAGATTTAAGTCTTTCTGCAGTAAGGTTTACCCCAGGTACTATCTTCATGC